CCCCTGGTATAGATACTGGCCAATTAACACCATTTTTTTATTTGCCTATACAGTGCTGCACTAGGTTTGTTTAACAAAGAACTAATCAAATTTATGTCCTTTTTTCCACACAAATAGAGCTTTCTTTCGGTGGAAATTGAACACCTGTGCTCTTTTTTTTTGCGCTATAAAATAACAAAACATTTTTGAAAAATTTAATATTTCTTAAAAAAAACAATATTTTCCCAATTCAGTCATAATAAATATCGAAAAAAACCATAAAATTTCATCATAAAATTAGCCAAAATGTATTCTGCTACATGATTTTGGTTACAAATCCAATAAGTGTATCATCTGATTGCTTTTGTGTGAAAATTATAGCGTCTACAAACTATGGTACAGATAATAATGGAATTTACACAGCTTTACTTTCTGACTGCCCATCACATTTCGGTGAGGTGCCAAAAATACCCGGACAGTGCAAACACCCCCCAATGACCCCTTTTCAGAAAGTAGACACTAAGCTATTTGCTGAGAGGCATATTGGGTACACAGAAGATTTATATTTTTCCCACAAATATTTGGAAAATGACAAAAACATGATATATTTGTCCTCACACAATCCATGGGTATAATGTGGAATTACACCCTAAAATACATTCTGCATACTTCTACCAAGTATGTGGGGATGACACATGAGGGGGGGGGGGTGTGGGGGGGGGGGAGGGTGAGGGGAGACTTATTTTGGGAGTCTAGCCAAATACAGGAGCCTAAAATCCAATGACCACATTGAAATCCAGAAGGTGCGTAACTTCCTCATTTCACTTCCTCACTACTATCACAGTTTCAGAGCACCCTGAAATGCAGATAGCAAACCACTGTCCCCTCCCCCCCCCAAATGACCCTTTTTTGAAAGTAGACACCCCAGGGAATTATAAAAAGAGGCATGTGAGTATATTGCATATCTCAATTTTTATCACAAGGGTTGAAATATGAAAAAGAAAAGAAAAAATATGTTATTGTTTTCTTTCATAATTTTTCTAAAACTTTTGGCAACAAAGAGATCTCCAAAATACTCACCAATGCTTATCTAATTCTTTGGGTCCTCTACTTTCCAAAAAGGGGTCAATTTGGGGGTTTTGTGCTATCCTGGCATCTCAGGGCCTCCAAAACCTGGATAGGTAATCAGGAAGTGTAATGAGGAAATAATGCCCTTAAAAAGCCTGAAGGTGCATAATGGAATTTGGGTCCTGTACTTGGCTAGACTGCCAAAAAGTCTCTCACATGTGGTACTCCCACACTTGGGACAAATAGCAGAATGTAATTTGTGGAGTAATTCCACATATACCCATGCATGTGTGAGCAATAATACATTTAAGAGACAATTTTGTGTAAAAAAAAAAAAAATTGTCATTTTCCCCCAAAAAAAAACTTGTGGAAAAATAAAATTCTTCTATTGACTCAACATGGCCTCTCAGCAAATAGTTTGGAGTGTCTACTTACAAAAATAGTTTGTTTGGGGGGTGAGGGCATTGTAGCCCAGCATTAGAAGTTTATGCACACATCATTCACAGTTCTAACAACCTAGACCAACCTTTTTCTGACACTTTTTGTTCACATGAAAAAATCTGAATTTTTTGCTAGGAAATTACATTGAACTCCCAAACATTATATAAATTTGTTAAATGCCGTACACCCTAGTGATTAAAATGGTGGGTGCTAGCTATTTTTGTATGTCACATAGTAAACTCAGCAGCGCTTTTCAAATGGCAGATTTTTTTACTTTTAATTCACAAAAACACAAAATATTGGCAATTATTTGGTAAAATATAAAATATGATGGTATGCAGAGTAAATGAATAACCAACATGACATGCTTTAAAACTGTGCATGCGGGGGCGTGACCAAGATGGCGACCGGAGCGGCCCTTTGCAATAATCCGGAGCTCTCCGGATGCCGTTGCTTTTAGATCCGCGGCATCCGAGCGGCGGCGGGTCACGGAGTGCCGGCGGAGGACCCCGGTAAGTATCCCCTGGACCCCCGGGGAGGTCGGAACCCAGGTGATATTTCCGCCCCACGTGGCGGCTGACGTCCGCGCCTGGTGCGCCGCACGGGCCGGGGCTCCGGCGCCGCCCATCAGCTCTCCCATCCTCACCTGCTACCATCCGTGCCCCGAACTTTTTAAGTCCCGTCTGCCATCCGTGCAGCAGCCGGATCCACAGAGTGCCGGCGGATGACCCGGGTGAATCTATCCTTGGTCCCGGGGAGTCGGGGCCCGAGTTATAAATCCGCCCTCGAGGCGGCTGACGTACCGCGCCGCACCAGGCCGCGGACGTCAGCCGCCACTGAGGGCGGAAATATCACTCGGCCCCGACCTCCCCGGACCAAGGATACCACCCGGGTCTCCGCCGGCACTCTGGATCCGCTGCCTGCACGGATGGCAAGCGACTTAAAGTTCGGCACCAGGATGGTGCAGGTGCGGATGGGAGAAGCTGATGGGCGGCGCCGAGCCCGGCCGTGCGGCCGCACCAGGCCGCCGGACCGTCAGCCGCCACGAGGGCGGAAATATCACCTGGTTCCGAACTCCCCGGGGCAGGAAACTACCCGGGTCCTCCGCCGGCACTCCGTGAAGCCCCCGCCGTCGATGGCCGCCGATTCTAAAACTCGGCACCGGAGCTCCGGATTATGCGGCCGCTCCGGTCGCCATCTTTGACACGCCCCCCGCTATGCATCAGTTTTTTTTTAAAGCATGTCATGTTTTTGTATTCATTTACTCTGCATACCATCAATATTTTTTATATTTTACCAAATAAATGGCCAATATTTTGTGTTTTTGTGAATTAAAGTAAAAATCGCATTTGGAAAAAGCGCTGCACGTGTAACAATGAGACATACAAAAAGTAGCAGCACCCACCATTTGTTAATCCTAGGGTTCTGCTTTAAACAAAATTAATATAATGTTTGGGAGTTCCATGTAATTTCCTTAGCAAAAAATTCGATTTTTTTCATGTGAACAAAAAGTGTCCAGAAAATGCTTGGTCTTCAGTTGTTAGAACAGTGAATGATGTGTGGCATAAAACTTCTAATGCTGGGCATACAATGCATCACCCCCCAAAAAAACTATTTTTGTATAAGTAGACACACCAAACTATTTGCTGAGAGGCCCATGTTTGATCAATAGAAGAATTTAATTTTTTAGTACCACAATTTTTGGAAAATGACAATTTTTTTTTTTTTACACAAAATTGTCTCTTAAATAATTATTGCTCACACATGCCATGGGTATATGTGGAAATACTTCCACAAAATACATTCTGCCTTTTTTTCCCAAGTGTGGGGGACCACATGTGAGAAGACTTTTTGGCCAGTCTAGCCAAGTACCGGACCCTAATCCTAATAAGCACCTTCAGGCTTTTAAAGGGCATTATTTCCTCATTACACTTCCTGACTACCTATCACAGTTTTGGAGGCCCGAGATGCCAGGATAGCACCAAACCCCCCAAAATGACCCCTTTTTGGAAAGTAGAGACCCCAAAGAATTTGAAAATGCATTGTGAGTATTTTGGAGATCTCTTTTTTGCCACAAGTTTTAGAAAAATTAAGAAAGAAAACAATAACATATTTTTTCTTTTCTTTTTTATATTTCAAACCCTTGTGATAAAAATTGAGATATGCAATATACCACCATGCCTCTTTTTAAATTCCCTGGGGTGTCTACTTTCCAAAAAGGGTCATTTGGGGGGGGGAGTTGGTGCTATCCGGGCATTTCAGTTGCTCTGAAACTTTTTTGTGGGTTTAGTGAGGAAGTGAAATGAGGAAGTTACGCACCTTCGGCTTTCAAAGTGGTCTTTGGGATTTTAGGCTCCTGTATTTGGCTAGACTCCAAAAAGTCTCACACATGTGGTATCCCCATACTTGGTAGAAGTAGCAGAATGTATTTTGGGGTGTAATTCCACATATACCAGGCTTGGGTGTGAGAAATATATCATGTTTTTTGTCATTTTCCAAATATTTGGGGGAAAAATATAAATCTTCTGTGTACTCAATATGCCTCTCAGCAAATAGCTTAGTGTCTACTTTCTGAAAAGGGGTCATTTGGGGGTGTTTGCACTGCCCTGGTATTTTTAGCACCTCACGAAATGTGATGGGCAGTCAGAAAGTAAAACTGTGAAAATTCCATTATCTGTACCATAGTTTTGTAGACGCTATAATTTTCACACAAAGCAATCAATATACACTTTTTGGGATTTTTTAACCAAAAACATGTAGCAGAATACATTTTGGCCTAATTTTATGATAAAATTTTAAAGGGGTTTTTTTTGATATTTTTTATGACAGAAATGAGGAAATATTGTTTTTTTTAAGAAATTAAATTTTTCAAAATGTTTTTTGTTTTATAGCGCAAAAAAAAAGAGCACAGGTGATCAAATACCACCGAAAGAAAAGCTCTATTTGTGTGAAAAAAGGACATAAATTTCATTAGTTCTTAGTTAAACAAACTAGTGCAGCACTGTATAGCAAAAAAAAATGGTGTTAATTGCAGTATCTAAAACCAGGGGTCCTCAAACTACGCCCACGGGCCACTTTGTGGCCCGCCGAGGCCATTTATCCGGCCCGCCGGCAGGGGTTTGGACAGGAAGGGACACTATGTACAGGGGGGGGCAGGGGGCTGCTGTACCTTACCTGGCTCCGGTCCCAGTCCCACGACAATCCGTTTCCCGGAAAACGGTGCTCCTTCATTCACTCCGGCCACTCCCTCACTCCTGCCACTCGGGTCCGCCTCCTCCCAGTGATTGGGCGCCAGGAATTGGTAGCTCAGAAAAGGCACACAGGCGGCCAAACACCTGTGAGGAGACGGAGCTGAGCGGCCCCGCGAACATCGGTGAGAGAGAGGGGCGGAGTGAAGAAGGACAGCTGACAGGTAAGTGTGCCATGCTGATGGTGCTGCTGCAACAGGTATGCTGGCTGCAGTAGCACCTAGGCTGGGGTCAGTGGGAGGAATAGTGCCCCATCATTGGTGTCACTGATACTAATGATGGGGGATTATTCCCCACTGACACCAATGATGGGGCACTATTCCTCCACTGACACCAATGATGGGGCACTATTCCTCCCCCCACTGACACCAACGATGGGGCACTATTCCTCCCCCCCCTAACACCAAAGATGGGGCACTATTCCTCCCCCCCACTGACACCAACGATGGGGCACTATTCCTCCCCCCACTGACACCAATGATGGGCACTATTCCTCCACTGACACCAATGATGGGGCACTATTCCACCCTTCACTTGGTTCACCCAAACGACGGGATGCCCAACTATTAAACCTCCCCCCCCACCCTGGGGCACATTTCTTCCCACTGACACCAATGACGTACTATTCCTCCCACTGACACCAAAGATGGGGAAAATATTCTTCCCCCTGACACCAATGATGGGGCACTATTCCCCCCACTGACACCAATGACGTACTATTCCTCCCACTGACACCAGTGACAGAGCACTATTCCCCCCCACTGAACACCAATGACATACTATTCCTCCCCCTGACACCAAAGATTTGGGGGACTATTCTTCCCACTGACACCAAAGATGGGGGACTATTCTTCCCAAATGACACCAATGATGGGGCACTATTTTTTCCTACTGACACCCAAAGATGGGACCCCTATTCCCCCCCCCACACTGACACCAACGATGGGGCACTATTCCTCCCCCCACTGACACCAATAATGGGGCACTAGTGGTGTGACCCTCCGCGCTCCAAATTATGGGGTTTAAACAATTGAAACCCAAATTAAATATATGAACCCCAAACAGTGCTAGCATTAAATCATTTAT